TACGAAAAGACCAACGAAATGGGTCTCCGCATTCTTGGGCTCGCCGTAGCTGTTCGCCACGACTCCCCCAAGGAGCCCACAACTATTCGCCAAGCTCTATCTGGCCCTGACAGTGAGAAATGGAAGGCAGGCATGGCTAAGGAAGTCGCGGCGCTCAAGAACCGCAGGACATGGAAGCTGGTTCCTCGAACGTCAGCAAAGGGGAGAAACATTCTCAGCGGTAAATGGGTCTTACCGCATCAAAACACTCACGGATGGCTCCATTGATAAATACAAGGCAAGATGGGTGGTGCGCGGCTTCGAGCAAACTCACATGGTGGACTTCGACCTCACCTACGCACCCGTCGGACGGCACACCTCAGTGCACATCCGCATCTGCATCGCAGCCGTCAAACAGCGCCCGCTCCATCAGATCGACGTCGGCAGTGCTTTCCTGTACGCTCCGGTCGACACCATCATTTTCGTCGAGAAGCCGCACGCCTTTGAGGAAAACGACGGCGCCGTCTGCCTGCTTCATAAATCCCTCTATGGGTGTCAAAATAGCTTCATGGGTTAGGAGAAGGAGCCTAGGGTTTAGGCTAGGCAAGGAAGTATCGAGAGGGATTGCCAAAGCAAAAAGGGGGTTTCACTATAGGCTCAAGGGTACAAATATGAAAGAACAAGCATGAGAAAAATGTGCACCACCAAACAAGCAAGATAACTACACTAAGTCTACACTACAGGCACTTATAGAGTAATGTATACAATCACATTCTGACACACCCCCTAACTGCCTGCAGTGAAGAACCATGTGCAAAAACACCCCCGGAAGGGGTACACCAAGCAGAGTGCAGCAGAAGGAGAGGGCAAGTGAGGAGAAGGAGGGACTATTAGAGGAGAGGAGGTAGGAGACGGCAGCCGAAGCTGCTGGCACACGGGCGACTGGAGCAACTGGCACACAGGCTACCGGAGCAAGGGCATCCGGACTACTGGAGTAACTGGCTCCGCGGTTGACGAGCGGCTGGAGCAGCTGACCCACGGGCGACTGGAGCAACGGGCTCACGGGCTACCGGAGCAAGGGTTTCCGGACTACTGGAGCTGCTGGCTTCAAGGCGGCTACCTCCTTTCAACCTCCCCCCATTGTCCCACACCCCCTTTTCACACCCTCTTCTGCATCCCTAGCGCCACTCCCTCGGCTCCCCCACACCCTCCCCCCCTCAGCGGCAGCTGCAGTAGTGGGAGAGAGAGGAGGAGGAGCAGTAGATTACTCACACCCGCCACACCCATACCCGCCACCCCCATACCCTCCCCCCCACGGTTGCACGCGCAGTAGGGAGAGGAAGGAGAAGGGGGGGGGCGGGGGGGGGGGGGGGGGGGGGGGGGGGCGGGAAAGAAGCCGCGCGGGCGACAGCAGGGGCAGTGCAGGTGCGCGCGCGGCATGGCAGGTGCGCGCGGGCCTGGCGCGGGTTGTGCGGGTTGCGCGCGGGCCTGGCGCAGGCTGTACGGGCCCCGCGGGCCTGGCGCGGGCTGCACAGGCAGCGTGCGGGTCGTACGGGCTGCGCGCGGCAGGGCAGAAACCGTCGCGCGCTTCGGGGCGCACGACGGGCAGGAAACCGTCGCGCGCCTCGGGGCGCACGACGGGCAGGAAACTGTCGCGCGCCTCGGGGCGCACGCCGGGGCGCGCGACGGGCAGCAGAGCGCAATTGGCGGAAGCTAACGGTGGGCCCATGGGGTGATTAAAAATAACAGGCCAGGATCTTACTCGCTCCGATAGCATGTCAAAATAGTTTCATGAGTTAGGAGAATGAGCCTAGGCTAGGCAAGGAAGTATCGAGAGGGATTGCCAAAGCAAAAAGGGGGTTTCACTATAGGCTCAAGGTTACAAATATGAAATAACAAGCATGAGAAGAAAGGCGCACCACCTAACAAGCAAGATAACTACACTAAGACTACACTACAGGCAGTTATAGAGTAATGTATACAGTTACATTCTCACAAAGGGATCAAGCAAGCGCCCCGTCTGTGGCAGCAGTACCTGCACACCGTTCTCACGGAGCTCAGATTCAACCAGCTGCCCCACGACCTCGGGATGTACCGGAAGGAGTCGCGTGGCAAATTCATTCTCCTCGTCGCCTACGTCGATGATCTACTCTACACCGGCGACGACACGGAGCTGCTTGACCAGTTTGAAGCAGACATCAAAGAGAAGCTGGAGGTTACCATCAACCACAACGTCACTCAGTTCCTTGGTCTCAACAACACCCAGTCCGCCACCTCCATTCATCTCTCCGCCGCCAAATACGCTGAAACACTCGCGAAGAAATTCGCTATCGCTCCCATCAACTTCACTACCCCCTTTCGCACTCCTCCTCCTAACCATGAACCGGACACCACGCCACTCTCCCTCGGAAATCACCGGCTGAAACCTACCTACATGTCACCATCAAGCCTTACAGGTCAGACAGATGACTTTAGGGTCGGCTCGAAAGTCATCGCGTCGCGAAGAACCTACAGCTCATCTCACCACGGAGTCTTACAGGTCAGATGAGTCTTGAAGAACCTATATGTCACCATCAAGCCTTACAGGTCAGATGAGTCTTGAAGAACCTACGACCTGATCTCTCCTACGATGTAAGCCAGCTCGCTCAGTACATGAAGCGACCTGAAGGGGAGAATCTAGTGGATCTACGCCGAGCACTTCAATTTCGTCTCCACTCCTGACGTCGGACTCACCTACGAAGCCAACCTCACGGCTACCCTGCAGCTGCATGGCTACATAGACGCGGACCACGCGGGAGATGTTGACAACAGACGCTCTCGCACAGGATTCATTTTTCAGCTCCAACCTGCTGGACTCATCTCTTGGAACTCCCAGAAGTAGGAACTCATCGCTCTTTCGTCAGTCGAAGCTGAGTTCATCGCCGCCAGCGCAGCTGTTCGTGAAGGACTGTACGTGACGGAGCTCCTGCAGGAAGCAAAGGTGACGATGAACAGGCACTTCACGTTACTCTGCGACAACCAGAGCGCGATCAAAATCGCGAACAAGCCCGGTTTCGTGAATCGCACGAAACACATCGCACTCCGTTACTTTTTCGTCAAGGACGAAATCGACAAATGCAAGGTCAAGCTCACGTACTGCCCAATTGGTGACATGGCAACTGACTTCCTGACAAAGAAACTGCCACGTCAACAGTTCCAGCACTGCGCCAACCTCTGTGGGATCACCAAGAAGTCCCACGTGGCTCACCTTCAGGAATGAAGGGGAGTGTTGGGATAACCAAAAGGTTATCATAACATTCTCAAAGGCTCTCCACTCGCGCGTCACTTCATAACGAAGCACCGCGCCTGTATCAGTACCGCAATAGCTCATATAGAGCATGCGGAAGGTCGAGGGTCACCCGAAGGTCAACAGTCGTGACCCTTGACTGCCCACTAACCGTACTTGGTAGTTACGCGATGCAACATGGTAACTCTCAAGAATAGCAATAGTCGTGGTTACTGTAGTAATGTACTTCAGTTAATAAGGGAATGTACCCCTCAGAGTACATGGCTAGCTAGGATTGCTATTTATATCCTTGTACTCTGATCCTATAATCATCTTGTTTTCTTTCAACTTATTAACAAGGGCACTATTAAGACTTCATTGTCTTCTCTTAAGACTTGACAGACTTATCCTATCCAATACGATCCTTCACTTATAACATCAATAAGCGCATGGCCGATACTCAATTATAAGCGCACCCCCCTGTAAAACCTTGATTTATTATAAGCGCATGTATAATTCTATTTTTTTCTATCATGTAGCACAAACTGGAAAGATACTGAATGTTCTTGTAATGCTTTGATACGAAGTTTCGGCATAGGAATCGAAAGTAGAAGACTGACGAAGTCGACACGACAGTTTCGTCGATGTTCGTGGACAGCAGGATTCATGCTTTCTCAGGACGTGTCCCCTCGACGACGATTCTGAGATCGATTCTGCGCAGGATCGCGTTTCAGCAGGTGAGAAAAAGGTATTTGAAAGTTTTGAATGCAATTAAGGGGTTTTTAGTACGCTTGAGGATCATTCTGTACGACCCACCGCAGGGTCCGCGTCGAGGGGCCACACCCTCACTTGGGAATGTGCATCAGAGGACCTGCTGCAGGTGTTTCGCTATTCTCGCGGTAACACCCGGCGATCATTACGATTTCGTAGTAGGGGTTACCAACCCAGTGCAATACATTGAGCTGGTGTTGCTCTATCAGTCAATAAGTAGTAACGTGGCTAGTGACAGTTGTAACAGCCGCATTTGCTTGCTCAAGGCGGGCGCGTGGGTTGCGCAAGCTCCGCGTACTCTGGAAATAAATAAGTGGCGGAAGGGGCTCCGTGTCCAGAGTCTTTTCTGGAAGCGTCGGACGCAGCAACGGAGAGCGGAAAGGAAAGTGCACCCGTGGGCGCGCGCGGCATAAGCCGTGCGGAAGCAGGGGAAGCGAGCCGAAGGCAGGGAGGGGGCTTGAGGGTGGGACAAGGCGCGAGCACGCGTGGCGGAAGCAACGCAACGCAAATTGTAACGCGCAAGCCGCACGGCGCAAGAGTCAAGGCGCAAGGCGCAAGGGACGGCGCAAGGCGCAACGGACAAGGCGCAAGGCACAAACCGCGAGGCGCACAGCGATGGCGGGCGATTCAGGCGGGCAGGAGGTGGAAGTGCTGCTGCTGATGGCGGACAGGTGCGGTGGGCGCCGGGTACTAGGGCTAGCCGTCGAATTAGGGTCAGGGTTAGATTTCGAGTTAGGGTTTGTGTAAGCGATTCAGGGTAATAATCATAGCAGGTGGAAATGCTGCTGCTGATGGCAGACAGGTGCGGCGGGGGTGGGAGAGACTGAGGGTTTAGTTTGGGGTTATGGTTAGGTTGGGTAAGAAGGGTGGTAACCATAGGAGGTGGAAGTGCTGCTGCTGATGGCAGACAGGTGCGATGGGGTGGTTGGGGAGACAGAAGGGCAAGTAGACGTGTAGCGACTCAGAGAGGTAACTGCTCAAGGTGATGGCGCAAGGGGCAAGTGCAAGGCGGTTGCGCAAGGGGCAAGTGCAAGGCGGTTGCGCAAGGAGCGAGTGCAAGGCGGTTGCGCAAGGGGCGAGTGCAAGGCGGTTGCGCAAGGGGCGAGTGCAAGGCGGTTGCGCAAGGGGCGAGTGCAAGGCGGTTGCGCAAGGGGCGAGTGCAAGGCGGTTGTGCAAGGGGCGAGTGCAAGGCGGTTGCGCAAGGGGCGAGTGCAAGGCGGTTGCGCAAGGGGCGAGTGCAAGGCGGTTGCGCAAGGGGCGAGTGCAAGGCGGTTGCGCAAGGGGCGAGTGCAAGGCGGGTGGGGCAAGTGCAAGGCGGTCGCGCAAGGGGCAAGTGCAAGGCGGTCGCGCAAGGGGCAAGTGCAAGGCGGTCGCGCAAGGGGCAAGTGCAAGGCGGTCGCGCAAGGGGCAAGTGCAAGGCGGTTGCGCAAGGGGCAAGTGCAAGGCGGTTGCGCAAGGGCAGTTGCAAGGCGATTGCGCAAGGGGCAGTTGCAAGGCGATTGCGAAAGGGGCAAGTGAAGCCGATTTAATGCTCACACTTCGCTGCTGCTCTCTCCGCCCCTACAACCCCACCAAAACTCTGCACTTCCCCCCACCCCGCCAACCCCGCTCTTCCTGGCCCCACTCCCTGCCTAATTCAACCCGAGAGTGTGAACTGGTGTGAATGAGGGCGGGGCTAGAGGATGCTTGAATAATTGACGCAAACCTCCCCATCCATCTCCCTCCCATTCCGCTTTTCCCTCCCAACTCCCTCCCTGGTGGCAGCCGGGCGTGTGAGTTGCTGCGAATGAGTGTGGGTCAGGAGGAGGAATACATGACTCAACCTTCCTCCGTTCCTCTCCCTCTCTCTCCTTCTGCTTGTCTGCCGAATCCCAGCCGGGCGTGTGAGCTGGTGCGAATGAATGCGGGGGGGGAGGAGACAGCAGGCGGGGTGGCGCAACAGGTGCTGCGGGATCAGGGAGTGGCGCTGGCAGCAGGGGGGACTGCATCACTGGTGTTCACTGGGGTGGAGGTAAGTACACTAGCTGGGGGAGTACGGTGCAGTACGATGCAGGTGGGTGACAGCAGGGGGGTTGGTGCGCAGGTGCTGCGGGATCAGGACGTGGCGCTGGCAGCAGGGGGGACTGCATCACTGGTGTTCAACGGAGTGGAGGTAAGAGCACACACTGGTTGAGTGCGGCTCAGTGCGGTGCAGTACATTGGAGGTGGGTGGATATGAAGGTAGAGGGTTATGCAATAGTGGTGGAGGAGACATGCAGCAGGGTGGTTGGCACAGCAGGTGCTGAGGGATCAGGGCGTGGCGTGGCGCTGGCAGCAGGGGAGGTGGCATCGCTGGTGTTCAATGGGGTGGAGGTAAGAACACTAGCTGTGTGTAGACATGAGAAAAAAGACAAGTTCGAGACGAACAGAACAGACCTTTTTTTTGCCAAAAATGTTCGGCCGAATATGTTCGATGTTCGTCTTGATTAAACATATTCATCGTTCGCGCCTTCTTTGGCAAAAAATCCCAAACATTGAACATGTTCGGGATTTTTTGGCTGTTACGCAAACATTATTTTCTTTGAAGTGTTCACGGAAAAACCAGCGCGACATTGGCCGCGCTGGTTGGATACTCAAAGTGCTGAAAGTTGGGATCGAGCTCATTTTGAGCTCGATCCCTTTTTTTTTTGTTAAGTTGTGTCCACGGTTAAAATTAGCAGCATAACTAAGGCAAATCTACTCAATCTCACCGTCAGGGTTTCCTTCAATTAGGGGTCGTGCTGAAGGAACAAGGGTTAGGGTGTGATGTGAAATCCAACCGTGGATTGCCAGATTTCTCCAATCCAATGTGTGAAAGTACTCGAGCACGAGTGGATGACTAGCTTGTGGAATCGAATGAGCTCGAGCCCTCTTGCTTGAACGACCACACCCTCTTCTCTACCCGGTGCTGTTCTTTCCTTAGCTTATTCCTCAACTGAATGACTGTTCATCATCTCCCTAACCTACTGTTTATTTCCCAGCCTCTCTTTACCCCCTCACCAGTGCGTGTATAACTATGATGCCATACATGTTGCTTGATCCGGTTTCACACTCTGTCACCACCACTCTTTGAACCAGTTTGAAACACTCCCAACCGCTGTGCACCCTCTCCCTGTGTGCCATTTGCAGCTGGATGAGCATTCCACTCTGGATCAGTGCGGTATTGGATGTGCTCCTCTATCCATCACACCACACCACATTACTCTCAACCACTCTCCACCGCTTTGCACCACATGACAGCTGGATGAACGCTCCACCATGGATCAGTGTGGCATTCAATCTGCTTCAGGGCGGGAGAGGTGAGGGCGGTGGAAGGAGAGAGGTGAAGGCAGGGGAAGGAGAGAAGCGGTGAGAGGGTTGGGAAAGGGGACGGTGATTAGGAAGAATGAGAGTACGCAGACGGGGAGTGCTGCATCTCCCTCCAACTCACCCCTTCCCTCCTCCGTGTCCCAAACTCTCTATTATCCCACCCCATTGCCTTTTGAGTATACCTTGCTATAAACCACATGCTTTTGCTCTTGGCCCCTCTCGTCCTCTCCATTGTTCAACCGTCTTTTGAGTCGACTCAGTCAGCCATCTCGTCCCCAACCTGGCAAACCTTCTTTCACTTAGTCTCCCTCCCTTCCACCGTCTGCATCGCATCCCCCCCCCCCCTTCTCCCATTGCCACTCCTCCCACCCCTCGCGCCTGCCACCATCCCCTCACCAGCTGGGTGCCTCAGTTTGTTTTTCCCATCGCGTGGCAGATGCAGTCTGTGCCCATGAAACAACCAGTCAAGGTATGGCGTTAGTAATTACAAGGGTAGGCACTAGTGAAGGTGCTGCAGTGGTGACAGGCAGCAGTTGTTGGATAAATGCAACCAGGAGAAAATAAGATCAAAACACCAATTATATGAGCTGATGACGAACAGGGAATGGCCTTTTCCCGTCATGGGAAGTCAGGAAACACGGGTTGCTTGGCAGTCATTGCGATTTACGAAAAGTCTCCTTCAGGCCATCGTTTATGACAAACCCTCACTACCACTCAGTCTTTTCCCACCCACTCTCTCACTCTTGGGAATTGGGACCTATTTATTTCTCACATGGGACGGTAGTGGCAAGCCGTGGAGCATCAGGTCACCACAGCAGCTGCCTTCCTCGCCGCTGTGCCTCCTTTAATTGCCTCACTTCCATCCCCACTGCCTCACTTCCATCCCCACTACCTCGCTTCCATCCCCATTGCCTCAAACCCTCCTGCCAACAGGTAACAGACCCCACATGGCCAGTGGCAAGGCGCGGAGCACCACCGCAACCCCTGTCGTCCTCAGTAATCTCACTACACCCAATCCCTCCATGTTGTCGCGACTGTTGACTAACCTGGACGAAACGGTTGCGAGGAACTTCAACGGTCGTAACTGTCCCTACAGTTACAAGCAACAACACAATAACTAAAGGATCACAATAGTCACTGCTATTGTAGCAATGCGTGTATTACATTTGGATAAGGGAATGTACCCCTTACAGTACATGGCTAGTTATGATCTATACATTGTATGTAATGATTTATTTTTATTTAAATCAATCTTGTCATTTACATTCACTATGATCAAGGTTCCACTACTACAGAAGACTTCCGCTACCAACTCTAGCTGACCTATCCTATCCAAGGTCCATATTCTAACAAAGAAACAGCGGTCTACTCAGGGGCACTACTTCAGCTTGGGAGCTGTGTCGTGGAGGTCCACTCGGCCCTCGTCTGTGGCGCAGTCTAGCGCTGAGGCTGAGATCTACGCCGGTGCCATGGCTGCGAAGGAGTTTCGCTGGTTGGCTTCTCTGCCATCGCGCTTCGTGTCAAGACTAAGGCAAGAATGATATGATTAGGTCAAGGTTGGGGTACAAAACTAGAGGGTCGAGAATATTTATGTACCCCCTAAGGCTAGCCCCAATATAGCCTAGATAATAATATGCATATGTTTTGACACACCCCCATAGACGAAATGGGGGATAGCCAGAGCAAGCAATGGTCACAAGACCAGTCAAGAGAAGAAACAAAACACAGCTCAGGGTGGATCACAACGTCACCACACACACTGAGCACAAGCAAACGGCCACAAGGCCAGTCCACATGCAGAGGTATATAAGTAACAAGAACAGCACAGTGATCTCTATCTAGCAAGAGCAAGCATGCAGGTATATATATATAGATCACAGTACAAGCAGAGACTACAGCAAGTGTGGAAACGTAGGCACAAGGCCCAACAAAGTACAAAAGCGCTGATGGTCACCAGACGGAAGTGCCTTGGTGAATATATCAGCAGTGTTGGCCCGAGTGGCCACGTGAGCAAGGCGAAGCTGACCCCGCTGCTGCAACTCTCGAGCCAGGAAGTAACGCAGAGAGATGTGCTTTGTTCTGTGCTCCAGTCTGTGCTCCTGACACAAGGCAATGGCGGCCTTGTTGTCTACGTACAGAACTGGAGGAGAACGAGGCCGCTCTCCCAGGTCGGTCAGCAGGTAGGTGAGCCAGCGTAACTCCTGTGCAGCCATGGCTGTGGCGTAGATCTCAGCCTCACAACTGGAGCTAAGAACAGAAGACGAGCGTGTAGACCGCCAAGAAACAGAACCGGAGCCAAGGCTGAAAGTGTAACCCTGTGACGACCGCTGTGTAGCCTGGTCGTCAACCCAAGAAGCGTCTGAGTGTCCAGTAAGGACAACTGAGCTCCGCCCTCCAAGCACGAGCCCCATGTCAGAGTTATATGACATAGCTACTGTAGGCTATAGTGGGGTAGCACATATGGGGTACAGTTGCCTAGGGTTTGCCTTTTGTACCCAACTTTCACTTAGTCATTTCATTCCTGTTTTCTTGATTCACATGGTATAGAGCGGGTTCCTACATGGGACCGTTCCTTCCTAAGGGCCCACCATAAGAATTTTTTTTTGTTAGCTGCCCGCGCACATTGCGCCCTGCCCTAATTTTTTTTTTTTAGCGGCCCCTACGCTGCCCCTACGCGGCCCCTACGCCGCCTCCCACGCGCCCCCTATGCGGCCCCTGGCGGCGCCCTGACGAGGCCCCTGCCGGCGCCCTATCGCGGCCCCTGACGCGCGCCCTGGTGGCGCCCTGACGCGGCCCTGACGCGGCCTGACGCGGCCCCTGGCGGCGCCCTGACGCGGCCCTGCCGTGGCCCCTGACGCGGCCCTGACGCGGCCTGCCGCGGCCCCTGCCGCGGCCCTGAAGTGGCCCCTGACGCGGCCCTGACACGGCTCTGCCGCGGCCCTGACGCGGCCCTGACGCGGCCCTGCCGCGGCCCATGGCGGCGCCCTGACGCGGCCCCTGACGCGGCGCCCTGACGCGGCCCCTGCCGCGGCCCTGACGCGGCCCTGCCGCGGCCCCTGACGCGGCCCTGACGCGGCCTGCTGCGGCCCCTGCCGCGGCCCTGAAGCGGCCCCTGACGCGGCCCTGACGCGGCTCTGCCGCGGCCCTGACGCGGCCCTGACGCGGCCCCTACCGCGGCCCCTGGCGGCGCCCTGACGCGGCCCCTGACGCGGCGCCCTGACGCGGCCCTGCCGCGGCCCCTGACGCGGCCCCTGCCGCGGCCCCTGACGCGGCCCCTGACGCGGCCCCTGTCGCGGCCCCTGACGCGGCCCCGCCACCTACCTTTCCGGCCACGCCGCCTCCTCTCAGCGGCCCCGCCGCCTCCTCCCAGCGGCCCCGGACGCCGCCCTCTCAGCAGCCCCGCCGAGCCGCCCAGCAGCCTAGCCGCCCAGCAGCTGAGCCACCGAGCCGCCCAGCAGCCGAGCCGCCGAGCCGCCCAGCAGCCGAGCCGCCCAGCAGCAGAGCCGCCGAGCCGCCCAGCAGCCGAGCCGCTGAGCCGCCCAGCCGCCGAGCCGCCCAGCAGCCGAGCCGCCCAGCAGCCGAGTCGCCGAGCCGCCCTGCAACCGAGCCGCCCGAGCCGCCCTGTCCGGTAAGAGCAGCGCCTCTCTCACAGCACTGCCCTCACCCCACTGTTTGCGCTGCTAGTCTACTGCTGTCATGGCTACCCCTAGTGTCCTCGCTTTTGACGCTGAGGGTCGGGCCATTGACTTTGACGTCTGGATAGATGACCTGCAGCTTTTCTTACAGTGCGATAGGGCAGACGGCCTCTCCCTCTTTGACCTCACTTCTGGTGCCTCTCCTGCCCCCGCCACTGATGCTGACGCAACTGTTCGCTCCCAGTGGGCCACGCGCGATGCTGCTGCACGTCTTGCTGTGCGTCGCCACCTGCCTACCTCTGAGCGTGCGCACTTTAGCCAGTACAAGAGTGCTCAGACCTTGTACGACGCTGTAGTTGCACGCTACTCCTCCCCTGCCACTGCTGCACTGAGTCGCCTCATGCTACCGTACCTCTTCCCTGACCTTGCTGCCTTTCCCACAGTCGCTGACCTCATTACGCACCTACGCACTAGTGACACTCGCTACCGCGCTGCGCTTCCTGCTGAGTTCTGCGCCAAGAACCCCCCCCCCCATGTACATCACCCTCTACTACATAGTCACCCGGCTCCCTGACTCCCTTCGCGTAGTCAGGGACCACTTCCTCTCAGTTTGCCCCACCACTCTCACCGACCTCCTCGAGAAGTCCCTCCTAGCAGCAGAGAAGAGCATAGTAGCTGTAGGAGCCTCTCGTGGTGACCCTCGCACCCCCATCTTTGAGGGGTGTTCCCCCTCCCCCCTTTTGCCCTCTGTTGCCTCTGCTGCTGCGGCCGACCTCGTTGGGCTTGAGTCGGTCGGTGCGGCGTCTACCCCTAGCGGGAGACGCCGCCCTGGCAAGGGCAAGGGGGGCAGGGGCGCTGGAGGAGCTAGCGGGGGCGGTGGAGGCGGCAGTGGAGGCGGTGGAGGAGGTGGGGGTGGCGGTGGGGGTGGTGGCGGGGGTGGAGGTGTCGGTGGCGGCAGTGGAGGCGGAGGCGGCAGCGGCAGTGGCGGAGGGAGCGGAGGTGGCGGCGGTGGAGGAGGAGGCGGCGGAGGAGGTGGAGCTGGTCGGGGTGGCGCTGCGCAGAGGGTCGGCTCCGGTGGTGGTCAGCGCCAGCAGCGGCAGCAGCACCAGCAGCGCACTCGTGACATCCCCTCCCCTCAGCAGCTCCGTGAGTGGTACACTGCACGCCAGAGGGGTGGGGGTACTGGTCCGTGCACCTACGTCCTCCGCACCGGCGACCGCGCGGGTGAGCAGTGCGGGGGTGCGCACTCCACCCAGCGCTGCTTTGGCCGCCTGACGGACGCTTGGCGTCACCAGTTCCCTGAGGCCACTGAGATCCCCCGCTGGGGTGAGCTGTCTAGGGCGGGTGTGGCTGTCTTTGACCTTGACTTTGATGCTATTCTTGCTGCCATGTATACTGTGACTATTAGTGATGAGGGTGACTGTTACCGGTGTTTTCCGCCCGACCCGGGCATTGAGACTGCTGCTCTAGGTACTGGTGAGGCTGCTGCTCTAGGTGCTAGCGAGGCTGCTGCTCTAGGTGCGTCTGCTCCCTCAGGTGCTAGTGAGTCTGCTCTCTCAGGTTCTGCGTCGGCTTCGGCCTCCCACACCTTCACCCTTGACTCGGGGGCTTCTCGCTCCTTCTTTCGAGACCGCACCACACTCACGCCGCTTAGCCGGCCAGTTGCAGTCTCTCTGGCAGACCCCTCTGGGGGTCCTGTCCTTGCTCACTTCTCCACTGTCCTCCCGTGTCCGGCGGCCCCCTCTGGCACCCTGTCTGGTCTTTACCTTCCCTCGTTCTCTACGAACTTGGTGAGTGGTGCTGACCTACAGGATGCGGGGGTTCACCAGTTCACTCCTGCGAGTCGGCGGGTGACCCACTGCACGGACGCTCGGACAGGCCGACACCTGGCCACGTTTACCCGTCGGCCGGGGTCGAGCCTGTACACCCTGACCACTGCGTCTCCTCCAGTCACTGCGTCTGGTCAGGTAGCTGCGTCGGGTCAGGTGTTTGCTGCAGCGTCCAGGTCTGGTCCTGAGTCTGCCCCCTGTTCGTGTCGCCTCCTGTCTCACGAGACTCTCCTCTGGCACCACCGCCTTGGTCACCCCTCCCTGCTTCGTCTCCGAAGCATGGCCTCCCGTGTCCTTGTCTCTGGTCTTCCCCGGTCCCTCCCTCCCCTTCCTCCGGGGCCTGGCCCTACCTGCGTCCCCTGTGTCGAGGGGCGGCAGCGGGCTGCCCCTCACTCCTCCGAGTTTCCCCCGACAGAGGCTCCCCTGCAGACTCTTCACATGGACGTGTGGGGCCCAGCCCGCGTCCGTGGACA